TCTCTAATATATATAATAAATATAATATATCTTTGTTTGTGTGTGGGGCGTGTAGGCATGCAAAAGTCGCTCGGTTTTGTGGCATTGTGACTTGACTTAATTTGGCAGATTTTGTTCAAAGTAGTGTATGTAGCCAAATTTTAACAACCTGCCTAAATTCGATGTAGTCCCGTAAATTCCACCAGCGTGTAATATTTAATGGTATGGTCCTTGGCCGTTGCGCGCTAACGGCGTGAGTTTGATCCCCGTGTGGGAAAGTCTTTTTTCATGAAATATGAAGTATGTATGTCTTCTCGGACACTGTGTCCCACTCACTTGGCCTGGGCTATGATAGACAGGGTCCAAGCAGCCTGCCTCCAGACAAAGAAAATTGTCTTCGGGGACATGGATCATTTATACTCCTTACCAACTCTAAATCTGTTAAGAGGGAGGTGGGAGGATGCCTTCGGTGTAGAAGTCTGAAGCTTTTGTTGCATCATGCTGTGCGTGTCCAGCAGGTAAATAACAAATGTGAAGATCGCTACGGGCCTGCACTCTTAAAGGGACAAAGTAAGGTTAAAAAAACCCAAAACAAGGCAAAAGTCGTTTAGAATAACCTTCCCGACTATTTTCAACGCCTCAGTTTGTACTGTGAAACAAGTACGAGGAAATGTTTCAATGCAAGGATCGATTGTTTCGCGCCACGCACCAGGAAGGCGAAGGAAGGTTTCGATCTCAGAATTAGGGTAAGGACAAAAGAGGTGCGGAGTGGCTCGGGGTGGCAGTAGCCGCTGCTTTCTGGGATGTAATTATTGTATTCTATTGGCCATTTGGCCAGAAGTGAACACGGCCATTAACATGGACCGAGGTCCACTGTAAGCTCAGTTGCTGCTATCACGCTGCGCTTTGGTGCGGATGGTGGTGGTTCGAATCCCCCAATCATGCGTTCTTGAACTTGGGCTGTTTAGGGTGTTTTCAGGGCTCTCCACCTTCTTTTGGGAAATCCAGAGGTCTGCCATGTGAAAAGTAACATTACACAGCGTTGAACGTGGCGTCAGAAATTAAGTGATGATGAGACGCTCTTAAATCAGAGGTCCCGATCATCCGGATAATTCTGGAAAACTGGATGTCTGTGATTGTCCGGATTTTGCCCGACCTCTTGATACAAGATGTATCAGACTAACATATTATACCTGCATTTGGAGTCCCCGCGGGCGCATTTCCACGGAGTCCGAAAAGTTCAGGATTTAAAAAATAATCCAGTCGATACCTCTGTTAAATCACAGGCTCTGCCTATTTCAGCCTCTTTGAAAAATAGTTCCATCTCTTTTCATTTGATTGGGACAGTGAATAAACACGTTTTTATAATACATAATATGTGTGTGAAACAAGGGCTTCCACAGCAGAGCTGCAGAGTAGAATACTGGCGCCAGAAGTACCATACCACCACAGCGTCTTGGGTGTTCTTTTCATGAACACATAACTCCCCCCCCCTCTCTCTCTCTCTCTCTCTCTCTCTCTCTCTCTCAAATCGTGAACATACGCACACACTCTTCTTATAGACTGATATGCGCTGGCAGAAAAGTTTTCTTGCTTTATTACTGTTGTGGTCAATATCGAACAATTGACCTTGGCTACTGAGCCGAGGAATTGGCAGAGGACCATGACCATGACAATGGCCATTGCATTTTGATCGAACTAGCTTGACCACCGGGCACTCAGATTCGGGCTGTTTCGTTTTGGAATCGGTATTTTATTTCTTGTGGACTGCGTATGGTTTCCTCAACGTCATACTATTGCCAGTAGTGTAATAGTAGTACTCACGCTCTGGAAAGGGGCCATATGGGTTATACTGAGTAAGTCCAGCAAAGAAAAAATCAGGGTTTTATAAGTCTCTGCGTTGGGTCCAAACATGAAATATTGATGAGTATGGTATAGAAAGAAAGGGGGTGTCTGTGATGCATGGGAGTGGTGGGAGGAAGGCGTGACGTTCTTTGACATCACTTGGAAGTGTGGAAGTAATTAGTGAAACGTTTCTGATGGCTGTCACTTTTAGTTTGTTGTTTGTTTTTTATTGCTTTCTGTCTGTCTGTCTGTCTGTCTGTCTGTCTGTCTGTCTGTCTGTCTGTCTGTCT